CGGGGTGTAAAAAAAGCCCCTCCCATATAGTGCCACGCCAAGACGGGAAAACACGGCGGCAGCCCAACGTCAATATGACAGAACTATCTGGACACAAGAAGGGTAAAAATTGGCGGAGGGCGGACGAGCAGCAGCAACACCAGCACTAGTCATCGTCCGCGACCCCATGGCCATAACAAACGTAACAGACTGTAAAGCAGAAAATAGCAGGAATGATGGCAGCATGCGTATCATGTTGATGATGATGATGATGATGATGATCGTCGCCAGGGTCGAATAAGAACGATACTTCAAGAGTTATGCAGGAGCCGGAATTCCAGAATCGCTTGCGCGTCATGGACATCGACGCAGTGGATCTGGAGCAGCTGTTCCGCATGCTGGATGACGCTTGGACTCGAAGGGCTTGGAAAAACAGCGCCGGGCACCAGAAGCATTTGCGCTTTGTCTTGCGGGCCCACATGTCTTGGGTCCTTGTCTTGGGATTTCAACTTCTTACAAGATCCTGGCCACAAGCACTCGAAACTCGCCTGCGCACGCCTCTTGCCATTAAGAACCTACCACCAAGGACCTTGGGTTCATAACACATGGTCCGGGGCGACAGGGGCTTCGGACCTTCTGACCTTGACAACTGAAACCGTAATCTATAAACCGTTATTGCCTATCCCTTGAATCCCGGGTGGCCGTAGCGTTTTCGGGTCTCGGGCTCTGGTTTCAGGGATTTGGATTTCTTGAACAGTACATCCTACCACCTTAGACCCTAACCGCCCTAAACCTGAACCTTTAACCGGAAGTGGATCCTTGAATGCCGCGTGCGAGAGAGCGGAAGCACGTTGATGTGCTTGTGCCCCAAAGCCCCTTATGAGGATCCTTGGCTGCTGCGTGCGAGAGTGAGAGTCGAAACCCCCAATCCCAACATATCCCAACCCTGTACTCGACAAAGTCCGAACTCGAACCCAGAAGCCGAAGCCCAGGAGGATCACTCTGGCTCCATCAGTCCTGATGAGTTCACTTTGGCGCTCAGCCGCTGGACACCCCTGGGGGTTGAACATACAGCTTAACCACGCATCATGATAGCAATCGGCAGAGCAGTGGCTGCGCTTTTCCTCTGGCGTTCAACAATCGTCGTCGATGTCTTTGCATGTCATAGGGGGATGCCCATACACGAAGAAGGTCAGAATGTGTATCCCCCAACAAAACATGAGCCATACCGAAGAACGCTCGTTTTCAGGGAACCGACGCAAAGAGGCCGAGCCATTCATTTGCAACCCCTGTCGGAAGGCTGCACCTCTCAGAAATACATCTTCATTTCAGAAACATCCTAAGCTGAAGAAGCAGATACACACGTTTATCAGAGTTCCGGCGTTTCAGGTTTCTTCCGGAGACTCCTCCCCACTAAGGGTTTCGGACCGAGCTTTTGCGGCCGTGCATCGCCGGGCTTGGTCTCTTCCGGGGCAAGAATTCAGCCAGGGCATGAAAGGCCTACGTGAGGCTCGAGATATAAAACCGATTGTACACTCATCGCCGGTGGTATGAGCTGAGTTTCTGCAAGATTCTCGAGAACCACTGTCACGACGACGCCCATACGGGCGCTCATGATAGGTAATGTTTATCGTCATGGTGCTGATTCTGTTGATGGTGATGCTGGTTTGAGACATTCCGGATGCTCATGGCACTGACCATGATGCCTGTGATGGCGAAGGCGACGATGATTCCTCATGTTGTTACCAGAGCCCCAAGCCAATGTTGAATGCGGTGGAGGATGCGCGAGTCGAAGACCGCAAACCACTTCGTCAAATACATGGCGCTTGGACTTTTGGGGCTTAGGTTTGAGTTGGAGAGTGAATTGCAAAAGTCCTTGGCCGGTGTTTCTGCAGGGCCAGGCCGGCTTCTGGCAGTGTTGTTTCTTCGAGGTTGCATTCTGCCATGTAAGGCTTTGGGAGGCCTTCCTACACAAGCTCTGAACACGGAGACGTGATCGTGTCATAGCATCCCGAGACATCCTTGAGCTTCATCGTTCAAAGTCCCACGAAACTAAGCCCTGCAGACGGCCGCACGCCGTCCGCAAAGATCTGCGTACCTTTACACCGCTGCATGAAATCGCTGTAGCTCAAAGTCCTGGCTTTGCCCGTTTGGGTCTGACAGGTTTCCCCCGTGTAGCTCAGCTTCGATTCCAATCTCAGATCATCCCTCTTCCACCTCTTCCAGTGACCGCTCAGGTGCGGAACCTTTCCGTGACCCAGAGTCAGATGCAGAAGCACATCAAGTCTATCAGCAAAAACTTAGACAAGATGGCCAAGAGCCTCAGCCACGCGAAAGACTTCGACGGCTCCTTGGGCTCCGACGCCTACATCTCCGAGGCTTCGAGCATGTCTGGTGCCAGCGACCGGAGCCGGAGAGCGAAGAACTCGAGTCTGGGCTGTAGTAGTAAGTATTCGAACAGAGCCTGCCCTCAAGCGCCATCAAACCCTGCGAGGGCCTGAGTTATGTCTCCGTGAGAAGATCCCAGGATAAACTGCGAAGCCCCACAGAGGGCTGGGGCGACTCTGGAGTCTGGCGACGGGAGCCTTGGCTTTGATTGAGGGTTTGGGCTTCGGTGTCTCTACCCGGAGACGAAACAATGAAGTCGGAGTCCAGCATAGCCGATCTCCTGAGATTTCAGGGTCTGGGTGCCAAACCTGGCATCCCAACATCTTCGTTTTCATGCGTTCCTTTCTCACAGCGGCAGTAAATCATTTTCATGACCGCCATCAAAGTCCAGTCACCAGTCAACGGCCACGAGAACCAGCACCACCGTTATCTTCATCGCCTTCTTCACCTTCACCTCCCCCGCCACCTTCAGCTTCACGTCCAGCTTCGGCTTAAGTTTCAGCGTCAACAGATGATCGTCAACATCATCGTCTTTGGTGTTCTCCTTCATGTATCCACTACCGTTGTGGGCATCGTCACCAGCATGTAGTATGGTCCCCACAATTGCCATATTCACAGAAACAGCCTTTTCTGGCGACCTGTTTCCAACCACCCATGCTCATACGCGTGCTCATCCACATCTTCGGGATGTGATGGCCTGTGACGGCATAAGACTCTTTACATCTCTTTGCGCATGCAGGCAAATCCTAGCATACCTTGCTGTTCAACATGTCACTTCTGCCGAGAAGTGGCTCAACATCTGCAGGAGCTCGACAACATCCCCGTGTATCACCTCCGGCTTCGACGAGAGTATCCGGGAGTTAGATGCCTTGATGGCAAACCTCAGGCGGGGACACCGGGAGGGAGTCGGGGATGGTCAAACCAGCAGCTTGTGCTTTCAGAGCTTGGGTTTGTCATGCGAGCCGAAGTCCTCCCAAGCCCTACATGACAAAGGCCATGGGCCATGAACACCGTTCTAAGAAAGAAGCACCCAAAACTCCAAATCAAAGGAACCTGCACATGCGAGGCAGCAGCTGGAAGACGTTCGGCGTGGCTTCATCGAAAGCCTTGGCACCGGCCCCTGTGCACACCCTCAGGAGCCACGAGAGCGTCACACTCCCAAGCCAGAAGTGATGCTGATGAAATGCTTCATCCTACCTCTCAAGCTTGCCTTCAAACGCTACTGTAACCTCAAACCAACAAGTCCAAAGCCAATTGATCTGGGCCGCGGAAGGAAGAGTCAGGGCCTGCAGCAGAGCCCGTGGTTGTGGATGCGCGGCCCGGTCGCAGCAAGCCGTCGTCGTGTTTCGGGCTTGTGGATTGTGGGTCGGTTCAGGGTGCTTGAACTACGGCCTGCAAGCTTCGAGGCTTAGGTCTCCGGCCTCAGAGTCTTAGGTTGGTAGATATGTGGCAGGAGAGTTCCAGGGCTTCGGGCGGGGGACTGGGGGCCTGGGCTTCCCCCTTGAATTTTCCCAAGGTGGTCGTACCTGGATTTGCGTTGGCCTTGGAAGCCATGGCTTACAGTTAGATCAGGGGACATGGGCATCCCGACAGCTTTTTCCTGTGTTTACCTGGTCATCGAAACCGAAACAGAAGCATGACCTTCATTCTACGGAGGGTCTGCATGTTTTTTTGTGAGATCTACCCTCGCAACCCGGAGCCTTAAGCCAGAAATCGAACTTCCAGGTTGCGCGGTCAGCCAAGGTTTTTGGCCGAGCCCCGCAAAGTGTCATTTTGCCAAGATAGCCCGGTTCGTCGCTTGCATCCTGGCTGCGCATGGTGCAGGGTACAAGGCCTGTAGGGAAACCAGCCGGCTCGAAATCCTGAAATTTGTGGGTTGCCCCGCCAAAGGCATGTCTCAATCCTGTATTGCTGCTATCTCACATGTCGCAGAAGGTGGCTTGTTCACTCCAAGGAGTTTCCTGTCTTTGAGCATGTTGTGATGTAGGTTTTGTTGTTCTTCGTAGCACTACTGCTACGACGACTACGGCTAGTGCTACAGCTTCTGGTGACGACCAGGACCAGCTCTGCTAATTATTGCTACAGCTCGGCTACTTCGAAGGGCCGCAGCAAAACCCGAGAGCCTGCGGCGTGTGCGACCCCCGGACTTCGAGGTACGATCTTCCGAGAGAGGAGCCGGGCCACGCCCCATCCCCCGCGGCCAGAGCACGTTGGGGGAGGGGTGCAGAGCATGTCAACATATAGTTTCAAAGGCTTCGGAATGCTTGCCTTGTGTAGAGACAAGTGGAATTCCGACGCGTCGGGTTTGGTTTTTGGTGCTTACGAACTTCTTTCTAGCATTGGTTACCTTTGACCTTACGTTGGTGTGCTTTCCTCAGTTTGCGCAGCGTCGGTAGATCATCGCTTTTCAACGTTTCAGTTGGCCCCGTCGCCTCAATGGCGTTGTCCACTTGCGTCAAGAAGATGCCGGATGATATGGGCTTATGACCGTTTATAGCATTCATCCAGTTTTGTGCCCAGTTGGGCGGTTGTTCCATGAACAAGGTTCCCCAAGACCTCCCTGCGAGGGTTTTTGATGATATGTTACAAGGCTTGAAGGCTTGTTGTTGAGGCTCATGGAGAGACATGGGATCTTTCGTTGTGGGGAGAGGCGGGGTCCTAAGTGTTTCTGAAGATGAGTGGTCCTGGCATCTTCTAAGGTGCTTTCGTAGATTGGCTACAAACGGACATCTAGAAGCAATTGCCAGAAGGACTGCAATCTTGAAAAACGCCCCCCCAAGCTAGATATTTTCGATATTTTATGCCTGCCGCTTTGCTGTGGCTGGAGGCACGGCTAGGCGGGTCTTTCAACGAATCGAGCACTGGCCATCTTTGCATGGGTGGTCAGTTCGACTGAATCGGTGATGCACTGCAACCGGGTTTGTGCAAAAGCTTATAGGGCGTTGAACCAAGGGATTCGCAGGCTTCCGTATTCGACAGTCCCAGCTAGGTTTGGGGGTATACTGCACGGACAGTGCTACGCCGAAAGTCGCTTTCCATACCTTCTCAACGACTTCTTAAGAGGTCATGTGGGGGAGTTAACACTCCCACACCTGTCGGCAGCGGCTGACGGCCCGCATGAACCCGCAAGTGGAGGGAACAGCGTTGCCCAAAACACTGCGCATGCTTGAGACGGTCTCGGATCCCAGAGCTTAGGGTTCTCGCCTTCAGTGTAGATCCCATAGCCACATAGCCCTCAGCCTAAACGCAAAACCCTTAAATCATACATCCCTAAAGCCCTAGATCCCAAAACCTCATGAACCGTGTACCCCTAGATCTCTTGGAGCTTCAGAGTTGCGAGTGGTAAAAGACCCCTGGGCCCAAGAACCCAATCCCAGAACTCCGGTGCCGGATTTTTTTCAAAGAAAGCCAAAGACCAAAATGTCCATCCAGGCTACTGCATGCGGAGACTGAGACCTGTGCAGGTGTTAGATGAGCCTTACAGGTTTTCTCTACGATGAGTGACATTTCGTGTTGCTATGACTGGAATTGTTCTTGTCATTACTATGAATGCTGTTAATATTATCATTGTTATTACTACTGCTACTACTACCACCGCCCTGGACATGTTTTCAGAGAGATGAAGTTTGTAGGAGGACCTTTCTAGAACCTCCAGTGCGTCGTCGGGTCCAGGTGAAGACGATTGTCGGCGATATGGACAAAGACCAGCGACAAGAGGCTTTGACTCAGGGTGTTGAGCATTCGATGCGGGGTGCGTGCGGATGGATTCGGGAGTCAGGGTTGACCTTGAGATGCACGGCTAGTCGGCTAGTCTTGCCCGTACGTTCAAGCCCCACAGCAAGTATTGCCCTGGTCGAGGAACGGATCTTGAAGCAATCCCGAGGATAAAGGGAATTGTGCAAACGTTGGGGGTGGAAGTCCAGAGTGGGAGGAAGTGATGAAGAAGCCTGAGCTGAGAATTGGTGGCTGAGCGGCTGCTGTCATCGAAGTTTGGTGTGGGACGCCGTGGGGGCTTCGTGTCCCTAGGAGAAGCTAAGCAGCATGGCTGGGATCCCCAACTCGTTGCGAGACCTCAAGCACTTGCAGCCAGGTGCACACACCCTTGCCGATCCAGCAGCTGCACCACCACCTTCAACTAAATCTCCTACCAAGTACCCGAATCGCAGGTGTTCAGTACCTAAAACCTAAAATCAACAGCAGGTTTTTAGCAATAACGGTCATGTTTAGAAGCGGCAGAATGCCCAACAACAACAACAGCAGAAGTAGCAGCAACGACGAGGAGAGATACAGACAAGCTGCAGACAAGGACTGCTGGTGATGCCAGTGGTGGGTGGTGGGAACGGAACTCACCCGCTGAGGTACTGCCGACAAGTATGCCGACACTACTGGGTATGCCAAAAGGCAACAACACTGAACCACCTTTTCTAGCAGTACTAGTTTTTGTGGAATTACCTAGATTGTTTGTGTCCTGCATTGAACATTGTCACGACAATGACCGGTAACCATAACAGTAGTTGCACCCGTGGTAACTGCGGCTGCAGCAACTTCTACTCTCATTGCTCTCATCCGTGTATGTCCAGTCTTTGTTTACTACTACCGCATCCACGTCAGTGGTATCGCATGCTGGCATGCTTCAAAGGTCGCAGCGCCTGTCACTACAACGAGAATGCTGCTAGCTGCCAGCATGCTTTTATCAGCAGCAGCAGCAGCAGCAGCATCATGCTCAGCAACTTCATCCCATGCTCGTCGATTTCCTCGCAGGCAGTTGATGCCTTCCAGAACGACCCAGCCGTCTCTGTGCTCATCCTCAGCCTCCAGGCCCCCGGCTCTTCACAATCGGGGTTGATTCGCTAGACGTCAGATATTCCTTGGAAGGACTGCGTGGGAAGTTGGGTTCAAAAAGCTGTTGATTTCTACAGGCCATCGAGGTCCGCAGCCGCAAAACTCCAACATGTTCGTTCAAACCACGAAACTGTGCAGTGACATCTATCAATGTCAAGACATACCGTGAAGAGCTTATCAGAAGCATTGTTACAAACAGCTGGCTTCCTTTTATCGCAGCCCTGGGTCGCCTGCCTCTCGCCGGAGGCAGGTGGAGTTGGGCTAAATCTGACGGCTGCCACCCACGTCATCCACTTCGACAGCCCCTGGCAGAGCACAGACAGGTAGCCTACTTGAATAACATTGCCGACAGGAAAAGATAAACTTATCATGATAAGTCTCGGTATGGCCCAGCATACGTGCATCGGCTTTCTTTTCACTCTATACTTCTCTTTCGCTCTCGCTCTATCTCTCTTTTTTTCCTCTGGCTCTCTCTCTCTCTCTCTATTGAATCTCACTCTGTCTCTTGCTTGCTGTCTCTCTCTCTCTCTCTCTGTCTCTCTTAGCCTTCTGCTGCCATGCGTCGCTTGTCCGCAACCTTCCAGATCCCAACAGTTACCAAGGGGTGCTACTATCAATTACCATCCACGTCATCATCATAATCGTTTGTGTCGTCGTCATGGCCTTATGACAGCCACCATCTGCACGAGCATCGTTATCATCATCCCAAAAAGCATCAACGTGCAACCCGGGTTTTCCGCAAGAGACAGCGAGAACCTCCCAAAGATGCTTGATCACAACAAAGCCGAGGATGCTACAACCCAGCTGCTTGGAGAACAATGAGCTTGTGTTTTCAGCCAAGTTCAAATCCATGCGTACTCCATGTTTTCAAAAGCTCAAAACAGCATCGTTGCTGAGGCCAAAGAAGCACAGGCAACGGACCGCGCTCATCGAATCGGCCAGGTGCCCTCAAGCTTCGGGATGTTTGGACCGGAGCTTGCCATTTTTTCTGCGACCTTCCTCGCGAGCGAGTGGTGCTGTTCGTCTAGGGCGCAGGGGAAAGCATGTCCCTAGCCCTGGCAAGAGAAAGAAAGAGAGAGGGAGAGAGAGCCAGAGAGAGAGAGAGGCGAGAGGCAGAGGCCGAGGGAGAGGGAGGGAGGGAGATGATGGGGATTAAGTCGCCCTCCCTGCAGACACGCACCGTCTTCGTCCATCGCCTCATCACGAAGGCAGGGACTGAACCGCCCAAATGTCATGAACGGCGGCAGAACCAAAGCAGAAGCCGTGGAGAAAACTAGAAGGTAGAGACCTCGCCACAAGATTGCGCTTCAGTCCCGACTTGACGGAGATGGGCCAGCGAAGCTAAAGGGACCCACAGAGCTGCGATTTATCGCTCCTAGGGCACCTTCGAGGAAAGGCTCCACGACATCATGGTCGCGACACCTGGGCAGAAGGATGTTTCAGATTCGAAGGATGCGGTTTGTGACCATCGTGTCCCCGTTGCAAAAGCGTCCTGCATGTTGGCTTCTCTTGTGCTGGGGTTTGGCCAGGGTCTGCCAAATTTCCTTTTGCATTTTTGGTTCGCGGTCATCAGAGTTGGTATCAGCAACAACAATATCAACAACAGCATCAACGACATCAGCACCTTCGAGGCGACAATGAAGTTCTTGTGATTTCAACCCTAAGCCAGACCTGGCGGAGTCCGAGTTGCGACAGCGTAAACCAGACCTAGTGACCTAGCGCAGGCGGGAAACGGAAATCCACAAGCAAAGCAACAGACCGAGCATTTGGGATGCTGCTCGGGAAAAAGTGAAAAAGCCAGACCGAGGAAGCAAAAGCTTTCCGACCTCACCATCACGGGTGGCGAAGGCAAGGGCCGGAGAAATCCTTGAATTGCTCCAACATTGTTTATTTTCCTTTTTTCATTCATGTCTCTTATAGTATCAGGCATCCCAAAACCCTATTGAGGCCCCTTCGTTATGGTGTGGTATTCAGGCCTCTATATTTCTTTTACGACCCCAGAGCGGAATAATTTGACTTGGTTTGTAGATTCAATATTATCATAACGGCTCGAGGCCATCCTATGGTAGTAGAGGAATTGCACTCGTACTCACCCTAATTCCTGCAGCGTTTCTAGTCGGGGCCATGAAGGAGGAATGTTTCGAATTGTTTGGTTTGGGTTCTTTCTGCTGTGTGGATCTACCCTAACATCACCCAGCCCTGCAGCCATTTCACGTATGAACCCCCGGCCAGCCGTCAGACTTCTCTCTACAAGTGGGACCCTAAAAATCCATAAGCGCTTACTCCCAAACCCCAGGTCCTGCAACAGCCTGAACTTGCACACACGTCTTGGAGTACAATTTCCCGCAGTGCGACCTAGTCAGCGAAGCGGGTGGGAATACAAACCCAAACTGTAGCAATTCGCAACCTCCGCATTACGAAGCCATATTCGCTCCTGGAGACACGGGCTCAACAGAAAGTCATTACACCCATGTCGAAAAATCCACGAGCCCAAAGCGAGACGAATATAACACAATATGCTATAATGTATTATGGTCCGTCTATGCTTCATGTTGGAGGTTGGATCGCCGATCTCAACAATGACGAGCTCAGGGAGCGGCACCTCTGGGATCCGAGTTGAGGGCTTGTTTGCGGAAACAACTGCTCCTATCACAACTAGAACGACAACAACAACAACAACAACAACAACTACTACTACCACTACTACAGCTACTACTACTACTACTACTACTGCTACTACTACTACTACTACTACTACCACTACTACTACGAGTACGAGTACGAGTACGAGTACGACGACGACGACGACTACTACTACGTACTACGTACTACTACTACTACTACTACTACTACCACGACCACGAGCACCACCACGACTTGCTGCTGCTGCTGCCGGTACAACGACGACGACGAGTACTACTGGTACTACCATTGCTACCACTACCGCATCTCTCGCTACCACCACTACCACCACTACCACCACTACCACCACTACCACCACTACCGCCACTACCACGACGACCACTACTACGACTAGTATCGCTAGTGAAGGCTTGGAGGCTTTTGGACGGGTGCAAGGTGACGGGTAGAGTCGCCGGGGCCTGGAACCGAAATGCTGGAAGTGTGGCAGTTTGCAAAGTAAGTTCCGGTTGTTGATCATGAAAGCGGCAGTTCATCGATGTCGTTTCAGCTGTCTGGTTCCCAAGAGGTCCACTGATTTATGCAAGATGCCCCTGTTTCTTGCTGGCTTAGAGGAGCTGTTCGAGCTCAGTGGCGAGAGAACCGATGGTCCCGCGGTCAAGCGCCGGAAGCGCGCTCAGGCGGTCAAGTGGAAGGCTGTAGGCAGTGTTGAAGGTAGAGGACCGGACAAGGGCAGGTAGATTTCCCCGAGGAGGGATGCAATACGGTTTAGAGCTGCCCTGGCAAAGAATAGACAGATGAATAGGCAGATCGATCAAGGGAGTTCAAAGGCCCAGAAATTTAAACATGTGAGTTGAGGCCGCGAGCAGGGAAGTGGTTCGGTGGTGGCCTAGCTCAAGCGGGGGTAGTTGCAAGGTTAGTTTCAGGGCCTACTGGGGAACCAGTCTCCGATTCAGTGCCCTTAACCGCCTGAACCCAGTAGATCTCGCTGTCAATGAGCTTCAGATCGAGCCCGGGAGGCCCAAAATCAAGCCGGCCCTGCCCGGCCAGCTGGCACGGAGAGTGCCATGGACCTTGGCGGCGTTCTACATCAGGCACCGAACATCAGTGCACTTTGAGTGCGCAGGTCTGAACTGGTTCTAGTGGAAGGAGTGTTGCTGGGAGCTTTCGGTCGTTCGTCAGGGCAGGGAAATTCCCTTCGTCTCAGGCTGAAGAGCAGGTATTTGAAGTCGATGCTTCGTCCTTGTTCGAGAGACATTTTGGTGAAAGTCCTCCATGCTTGAGATCCATTCCCTGCATGCTTTCCTCCATGCTTGATCGAAAGTCGTTGCATTCGTTATCATATTATTTGGCTGTTACACTAGCCATTGTTCCTTAAATAGTTGTTTCGTAATGATTGAAGTCAGCATTCTTCCGTTGGCACCATATCACTTGCGCTCCGATTTGCACAGCCAGCAACTGTAAGAGGTCGTTTTCTCACTTCTCGAACCTTTGTTGTTCTATTCAGAACCTGCAGGCAGAATGCTTTGGTTTACCAGTTCTAGGTTCCAAAGCTCCAAGGATTTGAGGGTAAGCATCTGGATGAACGTTGGGCTATGTAACCCTTTCCACTTTCCAGCCTGTGAGCGATCATGAACCTGTCCCTTGAGGTAGGACCTGTCTGACATCCAATTTGCAAGTTAAATTGCATGATGGGACAGTGCAATCACGTTTTGTCCATGCACCCTTGTGAAGGTGCCCCGGAGGCACCGGTGAGTGGCCAATTAAGAGCAGCTCCGGCACGGCGCACATGACCGTGCATGTTTCCAGCTTGCATGGTGGTGCCCCACGCCCTTAACTCGTGAGCCCCAAACCCAAGTCCTGAACTCCACAACGCACAGCCCCTCGAAGGAAGCCAGCTTTGACGACGCCCGAAACCGATGCCTCTGACTTTCGACGCATGTGTGGGTTGACCAGGGGGGGTGAGCTGCTTCAGCCGGCCGACAGACGATGCCCCCGAGCTCAACGAGGATTTCCGAGTGATCCGAGCTACAGTTGAGTCGGCCGAAGCAGCTTTGCCTAGAACCTCCTGGTTGGGTCAAAGGGGACCCAGTCCGCCTTCGGGGAACTGCGAGACTGGCTCAGCGCAGACTTCTGGGAACGTTAGATGCGAGGCCCAGAGCCGCTCACTAGCAAACAGAAAAAGCATCGGAAGCGGCAGCAGCGGTATCAGAAATCGTCGCAGAAATACTTAGAGCCCATGAAAACGGTAGTGAGGAATGACCTGAATCCGGAGAGGAGCAAGAACCGACTCCCTTTTCCCATGCCCGGTTTTCGAGGACCGAGCGTATACTTTTCAAAGGAGATGAGGAGTGCATTAGACTTTTCGTTATCGATAGAAACGGTACTGCAGCGACGACCTACACGGGTCAGGCGTAGGCGTGGTAGGTTCTGAAGCAGCCGCGCGGTGGACCTCTCCTGTCCTTAGGCTGCGTGCAAACGTGGGCACTCCCGCAGTTGGTCAGAAGGGAATTAAATTGTGCCTGACCCTTTTTTGGGTCAGTAGACTAGGATTCCATGATTTAGGGTCTAAATGGGCAGTAAGGGCAGCAGCAGAGTCCCTTGTGAAAAAAGGGTCTAAATGTCACTACATTGGGCCTTTCAGAAACTCCCAAGCAGAGCAGTAACACATACAGTGTGTTCAGCAACCAACAGTCGCTGGAGAGCCCATGCCGACGCAGAGATGTAGGGGCCCTTGCTTTCCGTGTTCCTTCCGTGCGACAGGCTGCGCGCCTGCGAGCAAGGGAAAGGGAGCAAAACCGCTGGCAGTGCGCAGGTTGGAGCGAATCGGAATCCATACAGCTCCCCACTGGCCAGCCCTATCCAACCCTCAGGGTTCTGGGACATGGCCGCACGATGGCTGATCATGCTGACGTAATTGCGAACAAGTGCGAGAAGCCAAGAGCAAGTGTCGGACCTCGAGGCCGTGAGCTTCGAGGAAGAAAGGCAACAGCTGCAGGCAGGAAGGGAGGGTCAAGCTTGGTGTTCATGTTGCGCTACACTTATCAAAAAACAGCAATAGCGGAAGTAGCGGCAGTGCCCCCAGCAACGACAATGGCTCAAACTTTGCAAGTTGCCCCTCGTACGCCACACCAACTTTGAACTGGATTTTGCATGCCCCCATAGGTCCTAGGTGCTGGCATCTGTTTACGCATCTTCCTCAAACGATTGTCCATGTCACTCGTTTTGATCGGATGCATTCGGAGCCCCGAAGTCGCTGCGACAAGATCCCTGCAATGTTTCAGATTCCAAACATGCGCAAGATGTGCTCGAGCATCCGGATGGTTGTGGGAGGGTCTTTCTGCAGACTTCGGCTTTGAAATCAAGAAAGCAAGCACTTTGAGCTTCATGGGGGGTGCGCACCTGCGTGTCAGGATTTAATTTGAGTGGAACGAGAGTCGTGTAACATCTTCGGTGTTGCACATTCGCTGGACCAGTCACTCAGAACTGCTGAATAATATGACTTGCAACTTCATCAGTTTCGAAGCCATATCCGCTTCTTCGACTCCCACAGTCTTGATTCAGCCTATCGTTGGAGGTGCAACAGGCACAAGCCCGAAAAACTTAGGTTCGGCTCAGCCTGAATCCAATTTGGACGTGCGATTGTCGTTTGGTTTCTGACTGGTTGTATGCAAGTATGATATGGCATAACATGCTGGGCGACATGCAGCACGATAGAACACGACTTGAATCATGTAATACGACAGATTCTATCTGAAGCCCGTAAGAACTGGGAAGCCCGAGCAAGCCGAAGCAGTGAGAACTTCATCGTCCTCGCAAGAAGTGCGGCTCCTCCCTGGTCCTTGGTCTCATCGAAGACCCGTTTCGGACCTAAACCCCAGAATCCTAAACCCGACTAAACCCGATACCCTGAACTTTAACCTCGAGGTGTTTGTGTTCCGTTTTGTTTTCTGCCTGGACAGGCGAAGCTGGAGGATGTCCAGCGGGAGGTGGAGCTCTAAGCAGTACTAGCACAAGATGCCAGTGTATATCAGAGGCCTTGTTCTTTTTCTACAGTTCTGAAGTACTGTAGCCAATCTTGGCACTCAAATCGGACAATGGATTAATTTGAAGCTGACCGAGTGCTGAAACCACCCGCCTGCCACCACCCACCACCCACCACCTGCAAACCAACACTCAATCCTCCGACGAATCTGAGATATCTTTCGCTGGTGTAAGACTTGGATCACTCACTCTGTCGAGAAGGGTGGCAGATGATTCCAGCTCCGACGGTTGTAGCGGCTTCTTGAGTTTGGCTTCTTGGCCATGGTCTTTTCGGGGGTCGGGCCCGTGGGCCCGTGGGCCCGTGAGCCCGTGGGCCCGTGAGCATGTGGCGGGCCCGGGGCGGGCCCGTGGGCCCGTGGCGGGCCCGTGGGCCCGTGGGCCCGTTGGTCACGGGCAGAGCCTGCCATACATATACATATACACATACATATATACATATACATATGCATATATAGATACATACATATACATATATACATATCTGCATACATACATATAACCATATAAGCATATATACATATATACATATATACATATACACATATATACATATCTACATACATACATATAAACATATAAGCATATATACATATATATACATATATACATATATACATATATACATATATACATGTATACATGTATACATTTAAACATATATACATATATACATATACATAGAAAAAACATACATAAATGTACATACACATAC